CAATGAGATTATTGAAGACGCTCAGAATAAACTAACTTCAAACCTATAACTGTTATTGCTGTAGGAATCCGCGAAGCGGCTTGTTTATATACTAAGTGACATATAAATCCGAACACCCAGTTTAAATGGTTTTATTTTAATAAAAGTTGGTGAATGTATTTATCTTACTGTAAATAACAAGTGACAAAATTTTGAGCCTTATCAGTTGGACATTCCAGTTTTTATACTGCTTTTTTTTAATTCACTAACGCTCTAAAAATGAATATTTCAGCCGCAGTAAAGAATCAACGTTGGCGGATTTTGGTTCTTGACATCCTTTTCGTCAACTTAGTGAGTTTGATAGGGGCCGTATAGTGGGACTTCGGGAAGCTGGACTTTCTTTTCGGGCAATTGCAGTTAGAGCGCAAAGAAGTGTAGACACTGTGGTTAGGTGTTGTCAGGCATGGCTTCGAGAAGGCCGTACGCAAAGAGCAAGGGGCACTGGACGCCGCCGTAGAACAACAGACCGTGAAGATCGCCGCCTAAGATTATTGGCCTTAAGGGACCGTTTCTCCACTACCAGGTCCATTGCAAATGAATGGTTTGCAGAACACGGAAGACCTATCGGCATGCGAAGTGTTTACCGTCGAATGAGAAGTTTTGGCTTGTTTTCATACCGGCCACACTGGGTCCTCCCTTTAACTCGAGAACACCGACGTAATCGCCTTGAGTGGTGCAGACAACGGTCACTCTGGGATCAGGAATGGAACAGTATTGTCTTTAGTGACGAGTCTCGATTTTGTTTAGGCATGCACGATGGTCGTGCCAGGATTAGAAGGCGACGTGGTGAAAGGAGGAATCCACAGTTTTTTGTTGAAAGACATGTTCATCACACTGTTGGAGTTATGGTTTGGGGTGCTATAGCTTATGGTTCCAGGTCACCTTTAATCTTCATCAGAGGTAACATGAACGCGCAGCGTTATATCCACGAAGTTCTAGAACCCCATCTTTTACCCTATCTTGACACCCTGGCAGATCCAACTTTCCAACAAGATAATGCCCGACCACATGTTGCAAGAGTCACAATAGACTTCTTTCAACATAATGATGTCACATTGTTACCATGGCCACCAAGATCTCCCGACTTATCCCCAATTGAGCACGTGTGGGATATGATGGGTAGGAGATTGCTCAATTTGCAACGTCCTCCTCAGACTCTAGAAGCACTTCGAGAGGAGTTGGTGGTTGCCTGGAATGAGATACCACAGGAGGACATTGACCACCTGATCAGAAGCATGCCTAGGCGCGTTGGAGAATGCGTAGCACATCAGGGTGCATCCACACATTATTAAAGGTCAAAGGGCTTTAAAGCAGTGCAATCATTTTGAAATTTTTATCATTTACTTATTATGCTTCATTAAGTACTTATACAAAATTTTATTAAAATAAAACCATTTAAACTGGGTGTTCGGATTTATATGTCACTTAGTATATAAACTAGGTTAACCTACACACCGCGCGGCGCCTGGCAAAATTTTATTAAAATAAAACCATTTAAACTGGGTGTTCGGATTTATATGTCACTTAGTATATAAACTAGGTTAACCTACACACCGCGCGGCGCCTGGTTTGGATCCTGGCTCACATAGTTATAGTATCACAAAGCAGCACACCTTTTGACGTAGCAGGGGAGGGAGGCGGGCTCGTAATGTCTTATTTGAAGCTTTTCGGAACTCTTTCGTCTTAAGGCTTATTGTTGCCTACCTATACACTCTGTAAAGGAAGGTCCCATTTTTGAAGATGCCCTGTATACCTGTCGATCACGAGTATATATTTCAGCGTTGGAATTTTCCTTGCCTTAAGGCGACATTGAGAAATTCGGAGAATACGAAATCTTAGGAATAATTGGAAGGGTTTAAAAGTGATCTGTCCCTGGAAAACTGATCTTATGTTTGAGAATAAACAATTTTCTTTATAAGCAAAGTTGTGTCTGTTCTTATTACTTCTAATTGTGTTAGTACAATCCCTCTTGGCAACACGAAAGTGACGATGGCAATTGTAAGTGAAGGTCCAAATATACGGATGAGCATCTTTTTAATTAACGGTTAGATTTAATCGCAATAACTATAACAGGGCGATTTAAGAATATAAATCACCACTCTTCACGCTTCAGACCCTGTTTATATGATCCTTCAGGTAGAAACGTTTAATAATTATTAGTTAAAGAACTTGGAGCATCGGCATCTGAAAGGAAGTTAAGAAAAGTCGAACAATGACTTCCATGACTGAGACAAATATTTGTAAAATGCATGCCTTAATAAAGGCATAGAGATATGGAAAGATGGTATTGATTTTATGAATCATGTGATGCGATGTTTCGATAAAAAAAAATGACAGGTTTAACGTAATAGTAATAACTAAATAAAAAAATGTATTGGCATTAAAATATAAAAAAGACAGTAAATGAACTTTACTGCCTTTTGCCTAAGTATGATCGTATTATATGATATCAAAATCTTGCAGGGAAAACAACCTTCGAATATCTTACGCAGTTGCCGGATAAGGCTGTAACTCATTTAGGCTTAAACACCCTGTATTATGAAAGAGTAAAACCTCTTATTTTCCGTATATTTATATTTACAAATTATCATTCTGTTGCCCAGCCCTGTAGTGATTTATATCGAGAATGCTTAGCTGAAAGTAATTGTTATAGAATATGAATATCAATCAGCCATCGCCTTAGTTGATGCTACTTGCCGTTCATCTACAGTATGATCGTAACCAGGCTGTTACTAATGCATAATTGGACAGTCCCTATAGTTTCCGTCAAAACAATAAATACATTTCCACATTGTATATAACAAATACAGTAGGTTACAGAGGGATCGCCTCCTCAAGGGTTAAAACAAAAGGAACTACAGCCTAATATTTTACAAAATAGACAGGTTTTCTACGGGGCATGGCAAGGTTTTCGGTTTCGTATCATCTCGTAAAAATATGTTGTCGCTTGTACCCATCCACCAAAAGTCTTCCCTTTCCATGAGCTATGTGGTATTTATTTTGAAATGCAATTTCTGGATAACTAAATGAATAAAAAAATTAGTTCCACTAAAATGAAGCATCTGGTTTAGATATCTTTTGTAATAACCAAACAATCGATCGATTTTTGTACGTTTCGCCAATAAACAGTATTATTAAAAAAACGGTAAGCAAGTTGACTCTGCACTTCCTATGCAACGCCGTCATCAGTTCATAAAGGATCCTCTGAGGGAATATTGACTTACGGACATGTAGAACAGAGACATTAGAGATATGAAATCAGTCAAACAGTCCAGAGACATTCTTTTCCTGCCCTACTGATAGTTACCGATAATGTGGCAACGTTGTCCTTTCAGCATCTCTGCAGCGAGTTGTCTTTTTTGTCAATAGCCTTTTTAGATATATTTTGTGATAACTGTAATCGACCAATTACAAACTAAACACTCTTCCTGTATACATTTTAAGATCAATCGAAACTTATTTTCAACCCTCTTCAAACCTCGTTAAAAAAACGTCCTGGTATATCCATCCATCAATCAAATACCTGCTGCCATATGGAGCTTAAAGAAACATCCCTAATCCGTGCTTCCAACTCTCTAATGTTAGTAAAACAAGGAAAAGCCTCCCCAGGTAGATTACTTCACAATCTCGTTAACCTAGGGACAAAGCAGCAGCCGTATCGGTCAATTCTGAATGTCTGAAAGTCTCTAGTCACCAAACCTTTGAATCGGATTGATTCCACAGCAAATGAGGTCGTCGATATGTAAGAGTAACAACATTATTATAATCATTGTCGCCCTCTCGTAAAATGCTGTATGGGCGCTTATGGAAAGTCGGGAGGCAAAGCGGTTCTGGCTGTGGCGGACAGGTTCTCAGACTCTGCGATTGTATGCCCGGCGTGTACGCGGCAAAGATAGTGCACCGCAGGGATCGGCACTAGACCCTTTGTCAGTAGACTAAGAGGTGGCGATTTCAACAATGTCCATAACCCATGGAAGAGGAAAACGTTACATGTCCACTGTTATAATGTTTGTGAACTTAAAAGTACTACTTTCAAAATGTTCATTATCATGAGAAAAGTGGTTCCGGTGGCTTTGTTGTACCCTTTGAGGCTGTACTCTTCAAGAAACGCTGATCAAGTGTTATGTGTGCACCAGTTTGGTGTAAAGCGATCCAAAGGGCGAGACCGAAGCATCGTTTCTTTTTGTATTGCATTCGAAATTCGGATATTATGTATTTTGGATGTTATTATGACATGCAGATCACGAAGAACCATGTCACTCATTTCCGGATTTTGATGAAATTTCGTACAAGAACGAAAAAGCTTTGTAGTTTTTGGAAAGATAAAAATTATTAGTACATATCTCATACATCATAGACTTCCCCGTACACTTGCTCCCAATACTTAGAGAAATGTTATCTAGCAGGCTCGTCGCGTCCCGCTACACTGCTCGTGCTGCCCAGCACATCATGGCCGACGTTGCCAGATGGTCGATACTTTCGGTGGCATAGCGAAGAAATTCTTAGATCGCAGCGTTATCATAATGGTGGGGACGATGAAGTACTTATATAGATTTGATTGGCTTGGTTCATTTAATTTTGTCCTATTCTGAATGTTTGTAGGTAGCTCAGAGGGGCTAAATTCTTTCAAACATAATCCTTTATGGAATAATGACAGCCTTCCCTGGACTGTGCAGAATCAACCTATTATACTTGATGAGATTTTTTAAAACAACATAACATATGTACCAGTGCAACTCTAGTTTCACAAAAAAAACGGTATTATGATGTTCTCAAACCCCATTTACATCAATTGACGAGAAACATGAGCACTGGCTTGCCGCTTCTATTCGCTTGTCGCTGTCGCGGCCAGGCATTTATGGGCCGTTGGCCAACAGGGGCGCAGGGGCTTGAACATTGCACGCTGGTATTTATTTTGACGAGGGTAAATAGGATGGAATTTGTATACATTATCTTGTTAGATACGCCACTGGGTCAGTATGCCCGCAGCGTCAACGCGGTGCAGCCTCAGTCTGAGCGGTCAAGCCTCCGCAAAGGCAGTCGCGCGAGCGCGTTGAGCGTTGCGCACGTTGCGCCAGCGCTGGGGCCAGAGACAGTGACAGTGATACACCGGTACAACCACCGCCGAGGTGGGTACTACCTTTAACCCGTGCTGCGTTAACGGTGGGTGCGTGAGATGGACGCTACCGACACACATCTGCATCATGTCCAGGTGGCACGAGGATTGCATGGGACACTGTTATGAATGCCATCGAACCCATACACCACCACATGAGGACCCTTACAAGTAGGTTACCTTGCTAACATGGTCCACAGCATTACTGGTTGAGCGTCATTGACTGTTTAATGCTTAAGGGGTTGTGGGGCAGGTAACTAGCAACCAACTGATCTTTTGATATGTTATGCAAGGTGAACTATTTTGGAGAATCTTGCAACTTATTCCTTACACGAGAGTATGAAAAGCTTTCAAAGATGATTTCTAAAGAACAACTACATCTCAGGTTGAAATGGTCCTAATATATCTTTACAAACATTGGAACGAAATCTAAAGACAAACCATGCACCATCACATGAGGATCCTACCCTGCTAACATGGTCCACAGGATTACTTGTTAAACGTCATTATCGCTTTGAGGTGTAAGGGGATGTGCCGGTAATCAGCAACCGAAATATATTTTGATATATTATGCAATGGTGAACTGTTTTCGAGATGCTTGCAACTTATTTCTTAAAACATGGTATGAAAAGCTTCAAAATATTAATTTATAGATAAAAACTGCGCCTTATCCTGGCGATGCTTTCAAAGCTTTGTTGTTTCCATAAAATTACCTGACATTACCACTAATCCTTTCTAATTGAAAAATGAGAGAAAATGAAATGTAGCGTGCAAAAACGGAAAGATGAAAAATAACTTACACAACAGCTGTATCTCAAGCTGCATGGAGTGTAATAGCTTGAGGACATCACTAAACAATAAATCTGAATCTACAGATAGTTTTATATACCCGGGGCTTCGGTGATCTCCACAGACAATGTGTTTCCATTAAATCCTTTGACACAAATTCATAATTTTACACATTTTCTGGGTGCTACTGAATATCATTGATATGACTATAAGATGTGTATATGAGATAACAATATGGCTATATATGTTATTACAATGCAAAAAGACGTTCTTTTGTTCATAGCTTGACAGGATTCACAATTCAATATTAGAAAACTCTATCCTATTTCTATTGAGGCAGGACTAAGGAAGAACTTTTCGGATTCCGAACCATGCATGTTGTAGTGTGTGTTGTCTATATCAACACAAGATTAACGATAGGTAGATACATCTCATCGCTGGAGCTGGTTTCTTCAATAATTAATTACCAGTAAATAGCTTATGGAGTAGACGTATTACGGGATCGGCAAAAAAAACCAACGATGAAGCCTGACAACTACTAGTTGTCAGGCTTTATCTCCGCACCACTACTACTAGGATGTTTGGTACTGCTTCTGTTTCATAGATGGCATTAGGACCTTTGATCACTTTTTGGCTCACTTGAATTGAGTATCTTCAGGCACCAATTAACGTATTCTGAATTTACAGAAAGCATAAAACCCCTCACGTTAAGACACGTCTACGCTAATGGACGCTTAACTGTTACATGCATTCACCTTTGGGACAGATGGAGTTCAAAGTCTGCACAAATTGGGCTTTCGTAATGAAAACAACAAGAAAGAATTCATATTTTGCAGTGTATGTCAATATTTATACGATATACTTACCAAGCAGCTTTTCATGATTCTAAAAATAAATTTTGTCATAAAGACCGTGCGTTTCTTTTCTGTATTCAGCACATTGGTTGTTATACAGGGCGTCCCAAAATAAAACATATCGGTCTATCGTATGCATATAGATACAAGAAATAACGCGTTCAGTGGCGCTAAGTAGTCAACGTGCCAGACGTAGAAATTAAATAGATCAAGTCAGTCAAACAGGCCCATACAATTAGTCCATTGACAATTTTTCTCTGTCCTGACGGAAGTTGCCGTCCAACTTGCAACGTCTCGCAGCAAGATGGGTTTTCAAGAAAAGCAAAGTTTTTCGAAAAGGGAATGTGATAAGAATAAAAGTAATCACTTGTCACTGCACTCAGGATTGTTTCAAGTGACCATAAATTTGTTCTCAGTGTTTTTTTCTTTTTTTGATAAAAGACAACTTCCTCGATATTTTTTAACAAAAAGGTATGGTGAGCAGACTTCGAGAAATTCGCAAATTTCTGCATCAATGCCGGTTGTAGGGGCCCTAAATCAAAATGCTCAGAACAAAAATTGAGTATCTGATAGATCCTGTCAAAAAAATGCACGGGCTTTCATGAGCTTGTTTTATGTTTTTGGCTTTTGATGGACAAGAAGTAATTTGTGGCAATAAAAAAGTCTTAATGTTATTTACGTCTTTGCGCAAACTGGTTTCCGCCTCAAATGCTATTTCGCTTGTTGAATGGCTACAAACTAATGAACGAATCCTCAATTGTTCCTTTTACCAAAAGGATCTGAACATTCTTCACTAGCCTTCCAAAAGTTCTTGTTGATTCTTGCTCTGAAGTAACAACGGTTTCCTTGGAAGGCGGAAATTCTTGGTTCAACCAAGCCTTATTTTTCTTCATACTGTCATTAATTTTCAGATAATGATTGTAGAAGGAAGATAAACCAAAATATGTGTGTAAAAATAAAAAAAAAATGTTACCTTGTTTTATAAAGTATCCTCCCGACAAGTATTTCAGTGCGGACCTGTATTTGATCGTGCGGTCTTGGAGCACCGGCATGCCCTCTCCTGTGAGGTCTTAAGTCACCTGATTCACGAGCCCTTTGTAACAAAGGCACGAGGGGTTGGTTGCGCTCGATTGGGAAACCGATCCGCATAAATCCGTGATGCCGCGGCGGCATTTTGTAAAGACTCCCCCCCGTAAATAAGAATCATGTCCACAAGTTCAGCATTTTCGTAAACATGTGCCATTTTTTATTTCGTTTGAACCACGCTCAAACACCACTATTTACTCACGCGTTACCGACTGACACATTGACTGAATAGAACTGAATAAAATTGTAGTAAAAACATCGTGATAAGCGTTTCAAATTCTTGCGCTTTTTTGTTTCCGATGCGATGAACCGATAAGGCGGATTATATCCGTTGTCGCCAAACACGAGCACATAATATTATTATTGAGACAGTGCGGTACTCAAACTTCTAAAGGGCTATAACTTTGTTACTTTAATTTTACCAGAAAAATGTTAAAGGAAAAAAACATTTCTTTTGATCAGATCTACTCACTGTTAAAATAAATGACTCAACTTCGAAGAACTTATTATCTCTATGACATGGTTTCCATCTATTTTCCACATTTTTTGTAAAATTCGTCATATGTTTGTCTAATGTTTCTACATTAATGTTTTTGTGGTCTAAAAAATATAACTTAGGCATTTTTAACAGTTGAACTCTGTTTTTGCTTCTGTTCAAATACCACTCGTTAAATAAGTATATTTTTTATTTTGGTTGCGTTTATAGCTAGGTTTTTCTTTGTGTTGAGGTATCTCAAACGCACATTTTAAACTTATTTTCAAAACATGGAAATATCTGCACTTTTTTATCAGAACCTATTAGTGTCAAGCTTCTATAAAAATGCAAGGAAGAGAAATATAACATATTTATACTTGGTTACTATTTTCACGGAAATGGTGCAATCTGAACCACTGTACGCCGGGCGTAGCGGCCTGTTTGATTGTTCTGCTCGTATTGCGGCGGGCGCTGCCGAGTCTGACGATATGAGAGGGGGCAACGTTGCCAGATGGACGGTAACTACAGGTAGGACAGGGAAAGAATGCCAATTGTATGGGCCTGTTTGACTGACTTGATCCGTTTAATTCCTCTATTGTACATGATTTTGTCGAAGCGTTCAACCTAATCGTTTATGAACTGATGACAGTCAACCAACTTGAGTCAGCATACCTGATGCCATTTTTTGTTTCAGATTGCTGACAATGGGAGCAGTACGGTATGGCACGAGGGCAGTAAGCCCCCCTCCGCCAGGGGCAGGTCGCAGCGGGCTGAGGTACCGCTCAACGGCGACAGGCTGCTGGCCCCCGCCGCTCTCAGAGGACGCCAGTGGCGGCGGTATCGAAACCATCGACGCGCTAGTGCCTTTGCCCGTGTCCCGGATGGCTCCTATAAATAGCCTGGATATTATTAGTTCCGCCAGCAGGATGGACGCCACCGCAGTCTCAGATCAGCCAAGGCTGCAATCGGTACGCGATCACGTTCTTTATGGCGGCAAGTGTCTGTTGAAGAAACGGTGCGCTCTTGTCAGGCCCCAGGTCTACGCTAGGCTCGCCACGGACTCAGAAGACCTCGCCACGCTGGACAGACTGCCCAGGTTCAGGTTCGGCGGCAACAGGGCCTCTGCCGCGGACAAGAGGTCAGTAAATAGGCGATAGTGGTCGGACCTAGAGATGCGCGCCAGAATTCGATCTTTTGACAACATCGATACACCCGATGTTGTCAAACTAGAGAGTTCAATTTGAATACTGTTTTTGTAGACTGCAGGTGCACTTACTCAGTAAAACTGTTTCCATCAAGTTTCACAATGAAACACTGGCAAAAACGTAACGTGTTCCACATTAGGTATTTCTCTGACGGACACTACGTCAAAGAACTTTGCTTCTCAGAGCTTTCCTTCATGTTACCGCCCGGGATGAGCCTGCCAGATAGACCCGTCTGACTTCGCCCTCCCATCTTAATCGTGCTTAACTTCCTACATCCAGAACTGGCCGATACGACCGCTCCTTTGTTCCTAGGGTATCGAGGTTGTGGAATAATCTGCCTGAGGAGGCTTTTCCCGGTTTTACTAATAGGATAAACAAGGTGTCTTTAAACTCCTAAACGGTTCCCCGGTGTTTAGGCTTCGGTCTACGCAGCTGCTTCGGTATTAAAAAAAACCATTATTAGAAAAGCATCGTCAGGCTGACACTGATGTTGATTCGCTACCCTGATTAAGTCCTAGCATGAATACAAAACTAATAGTGCAAGCATTTACACTAAGTAGCTATTATTTTCGATTATACTTGAATTATATATTTATCCTTCCTGTATTATTTTTATTTATTTTCTCTTTATTTTGATGGAACGGTTGAGGTTTCCTTGGGGTGTTTTGGCAACGAACAGAAAATTATTTTTTAATAGATTTAAATTTTACCTTCTTTTTCTATTATTTTCATTTCCTTGTCTTTTTTTTCTCTCGACCAAACCTGAGTACAGTCAATAAAAAGAACATGTTTTTTAAATTAAGAGGAATTAAAATTAAAATGACTGAGGAAGAAACAAATAAAAACTCAATTGATTTAAAAATACAGGGTAAATGAGTTCGCATAAACTATTTTTTATACTCCAACTACCTTGCCTTATGTGTCTATTATCAAAAAAAAGCTTATAAAAAATTTGATCCAAACTTACACATTTGGATTTTTTGAGAAAAACTACAATTTGCGTTTTTGACCACCCTGTATGAGCGAAAATTAAAATTCGAAAAAGTAACAAATAAGAAAAACGCTGAGGTGTTTAAGCTTTTTTTTGATACTAAATTCAGCACTCCACAGTTCAAAATCGAGGACTGAGGGATTGCCGAAGTGGGGGGGGGTTTCTAGATAAAACACCTTATATCTCAGTAGCTAATTAGCAAAACCCTATAGTATGGTATATAGATTTTCTTATTTTGAGTTGGTTTATCCAAATATGCAATAAAATTTTAGGCATTCCAGTTGAAAAATCACAACTTTGATATGTAGGTTGAAATTGGGACACCCTGTATAATGGCCAATATTTTATAAATGTGCCCTCAAATGTCATGTATAACACTCCATATATAGATTTTCCCAAAATGTATTTCTTTATTAGGAATATTCCGTTGACACATGGATGAGCCACCCTGTATTTATTCTTTTCTTGTTTTTAGGTATCGAGACCTCAGTGACAGGTTGAAACGAACTCCGGTTCCACCTCCCAGAAACCGACATCCGTCGAGATCAACTCCACAGACGTCCCCCACTCCGCCGGAAGAGCCTGCCGATTGTTCAGAGCGTGTGACACCACTGAGGAGTTCTTCTTTCTCCCAAGTTGATTACTGTACGGATAACAACAAATATGTGAAACGGCTGTCTCCTGATCCCACTAAGGAAACCTCGACATTGCCTAGGTCTAAACACACCTCCAGGCCTAACACGCCTACTCCTGAACCATTGTTTGTGGTTAAAGTGACTGACAGTGACGGGAATCCATCCAACCTGCCTGAGTCATACAAAAAGCATGCTAGCAACGACAAGAAACGAGATAAGTCGAGAAGGCGAAAGGGCATTTATATTTCTCAGTGGCCTAACAACTACCAGGCTTCGGAAGATGTGATCCCACAATTTGTAGGAGATGAAGACTTTTCTTCTCCAGACAATAACGCACAGCTCCTTCAAGATTCCATAGTTGAAATTTCAAAGCTACAGTCTCCTGAAAAAGATCCTTGGGAGAGTCCTAAGGAACCTCAAAGTCCAGAAGACAGTGACTTGGCTCCTAAGTGGCCACTACCGAAGCCTAAACAATCTTCTGCGTCTCCAGATGATAAACTCAAACATGCTGCCATCTTCAGAACAGATTCTTTATCAGATGCGGAACCAGAGGTGTCTGAATGTAAATCAGATCAAGTTTCATTCATTCCTTCGGACATATCAGACTGTGAGAGTAGGGTTAGTGCTAGTACTGAACCTACTAGTCCAACACCGAGAAGGTACTCTAAGCGACCTTTAAGGGGTCCTTACGGGCAGATGCTGGAAGCTGAAATGAAGAAACCGGAAGCCAGGAAGAATCTTTCTAATGACTTGAAATTCTTGGACGACCTCTCAAATTTAACCAACGATAGGAGTAGGACAGTCACCCCAAGGGAGCTAAATAACTCTTTGGACGAAACGAAAAGCAACAGTCAGTTGTATTCACCCAAACAGTTGCATCAACGCAAAATCAGTGCCGATAATTTGATAGTGCCAACAGATAACAATAAAAAATTAGTGGTTAGTCATCAAAGGACTACATCCAGTCCGTCCAAGTTGCAGGACTTCGCCAACATCGAAGTTAGTAGTGAGTTGCTGGAACAGCTGCTCAGGGGTAGTTCCGAACAACTTGCTGCAGCGGACGCTCAACAGAACCAAAACGTAAGTGATTTCGATCAGATCTTCTATTTTGTCCTCTATTCATACAACTGCTTGACAAACTCCACACCTCTCTGGCCAAGTAAAGTGTAGTTGCAACATATGTGTGGCTTTGTGCTAACCACAGGATAAGTTATCGAGTCGAGTCATACCTTATTTTAAAGGTCTTTCAATTCCCTTTATAATGATGTAAAATACATGAGCTTCAGTTCAGTAGTTTTGAAGATTTATTGATTTAAAGCTTAAAGTAGACTTTAATATGTACATCAGATTAGTTTGTACTACTCTCAGAAGAAATTTGACTAAAAGAATTTACTTAATAAGTAAATGCTTTTCTTCACTACGCCCATAAGGAACGAAGCAATAGAAGTGGTGGTTTTAGGGCAAGTTTATGTAGATCCTACGTTAAGTACCCGCAAATTGGAGACTGTGTGTGGTGTCTAGTCGACGTACTGTCCAACGGATTCTAAAGGGCCATAGTTCCCATCGGTATAAAATTCACCTGGTACAAGAACTTAATGAAGACGATTTTGATCGACGATTACAATTTTGTGAAGATATGAGTGAACGAATTATAAACGATGAACATTTTCTATGCAACACTTGCTTTTCCTACGAATGTTCCTTTTTCTTGAATGGCGTAGTAAATCGTCATAACTGCCGATATTGGTCCGATTCTGATCCCAGAATTTATCATGAGGTTCATACACAGCAGCCACAAAAATTAAATGTTTGGACTGGTATTTTTGACGATCCTTTTTTCTCACCTGGAAATTGACCGGTGAAATGTATTTGGAATTACTGGAAGACGCCATAGATCCTGCATTAACAGCCATAATTGAAAATCAGAATGATCGGCGGTACATTGCGAATAGGTTGATGTTCCAACAGGATGGTGCCCCACGACATTACGCATTACGTGTTCGATAATATTTAGATCAGACTTTTCCAGATCGATGGATTGGTAGAAGAGGTGCCATTGAATGGCCACCAAGATCGCCAGACTTATCACCTTTGGATTTCTCTAAAAAGCAAAATCTATGCTACTCAGCCGACATCATTAGAAGACCTGCGACAAAGAATTGTGAATGAGTGCCTTCAAATTACTCCTCAAATATTGCAAATTGTGCGGCCACGTTTTGAGAAAAACCTTTCTTATTGCATGGAGAGTCATGGTGGCCATTTTCAACATTTACTTGCCTAACGGATCAGTTCATTCTTCATTTTTAAATTGCTTTGCTGCCAAATGTATTGATCTCCATTAATGATGATGTATTAGTTTTATTTAAGCTTTAAATCAATAAATCTTCAAAACTACTGAACTGAAGTACATTAATTTTATATCATTATAAAGTGAATTAAAAGACCTTTGAAATAAGGTATCACTCGACCCCCCTTTCCATTTAAGATTTTGGGGGTGGTGTCACCCGCACTTAGGGGGCTGCACGTGATTTTTTGAGCGTTTTTCAAAAAAAAAGAGCTGCCAGAAAATGCTTCTGTTTCGTTTTCGATGCGCCACCCTGTATGTATTCATAATATCAGTATCCTAATTGGATGACAATATTTAAAAATCTCCTCACGTTTAGGATATGTAAATTAAGTGATGAGACTTGCAATGGAGCATTCTATCTGGCAACGCCGGGCTTGCAGGGCAGACAGGAAAACATGTGATCCGCATTTAGTACAAGTCAGAACTCTCTCGAGTCATTTGGCTGTTTTCCAATTGTGTTCTAACAATGAACGGCGTCAATTTCGAGCAACGGTGTTCAGACTTGGGCACAGGGCAACGGAAACTCTTGCGAAGATAGTGTTTTGTCAAGAGCCCACGTTTTTAGACAGTTTGAGGCATTTTCAAAAGGGAAAGATGAATCACGGAGCCCTTCAACTTCAAGAACCGATGAAAATATCGACATAATTCGTTCAGATTGTCGGTTGACCGTCAGAATGATCAGCAGAGGATTAAATTTGACTCACACCATCGTTCATCAGACTCATTTTTTGACAGTCGTAAACATTCTGTAACCGATCAGCTGAAGGCTATTCCGGTATCGGGGTTTCAGCACTGCTATGAGGAGTGGAAGGACAGACCTCGTATGTTCATATGATGTGTTTTCTTAAAATGGACCCATAGATCAGCCCTTTAAATATTGAAATTTAATAAAGAATCACCTTGTATAAATTGTCTCTATGTCCGAAGTTCGAGCTGCTCTCTTTTATGGCCAGGGTATTCGGTTTTTTTTCCGAAAATACGCTGCACTGAGAAACGTTCTGAGTGATTTTTTGTGACCAACACCCATTGAAACGACTTCGTATCTCTTGCCAATGATGGGAGACGAATTCGAAACACCAGGAATGTTAATAAAATACCTGGCCAAAATTTCATAATTTCAAACCTCTCATGAACATCTAGGTTGCCATGTTTAAGTTTTCAGCTTTATTAGTGCGTTTTCCTTACTTTTTTCTAAAGTGAAATATCCAGCCTATTTTTATTCAAGGTGGTTCGTAATGAACAATTCTGAATAAAACTGATAAAATCAATGATGCCTTAGTAGAAAATAGCTGATTACCAAGATAAGGACTGCGCAGTTCGTTTTCATATCAACATGGAAATTGTACATATGTCGCTTTTGATTATGTAGAGGGCGATACTTGCATACCCTAATCCCGCTAATGCATGCCATGACCTCTTTGCTGGTACTGTTATATAAGCTTTGAAGTCTCATACAATTAGTCCGTTGATATTCTACGGTACTACCGTCCATCTGGCAACGTCGCCCCTCCCCCATACTTGACAAAACGACGCGTCAAATTCGGCAGCGTTGCAGCGCGGCACCACCGCAGTAATGGCAGGACACTTACCGAGAACAGAACGCTCGCCCAAGAAACATTTTTCTGACGTTCTAAGTTTTAAGAGCGAATGTACGGGGGAAATCTATGAATTAAGCAAACCCTTTTTGAGTTATTTGTATTTTAACATTCTGTCGCACATTGTTATCTATTATTTATTTATGACAACCTGGTTATCCGAGAATGCCAGTTGACTTGCATGTAACCACACACCAACATTTTGTGAATAACTTGCATGTCAGGTTATGAAGGCGAACGTACGCAGTTAAGCGATATCATGATATACACTGAGTGACAAAAAAATGTAAACACCTACGTATGTTTATCCGATTTTAATAATTTTTGGCGTATATATTCAGTGTCCCTTACTAGTGATATGGTTAAATTTTCAGCTTGATTCGTCAACTGACTGGTTCAATAATGTGTTGAGGATCCACGATTTCTTATACACTCATTGACACGCCTGGGCATCGTGCTAATGGTGGTCGATATCCTGTTAGGGTATCTCATTCCAGGCAATTGCAACTTCGTGAGTAAGAGCTGCTTAAGTCTGTGGAGGGTAGATAAGTCAAAAGTAGGTGTTTACCTTTTTTATCATTCAGTATACTTGTCATTGGACAAACAACTGTTTTACACAGAAAAATTAGTTCTATTTTTGGGGTTGGGTTTTAAAATAGATCAACATTTTTTATCGAATATCTACGAATAGATTCAGAAGACGCCGTAAACCGTAGTCTACTTAGTATTTGTATCACCACATCTGTAAATAAACCTACAAACTTGGAAACGGCTGTACGTGTTAATGAACTTAATCTACACAGTTTTATGTAAATTGCTGTTTAATTTTTTCCAGTTAGAGGAAGATCTGTGGGTCCAAAATTCGCTCAATCAAAGCTATGCAAATGCAAGAAATTAATCCGACGAGAAAACGCTCAACGCCTTAATCCCCGAATACAGGGTGGTCCGTAATGCGTGTTGTCAAACTTGTAAAAACAATGATACCAAGCTAAATACGCGTCAGCAAAATGTTGCTAATGTGTCGAAGTTTAATTCTTCAAGGAAGATAAAAAAATACAAAGAGGATATAATATTAACAGGACTGAAAATACAGAAGCTGAGAACGATGATAGTGGAGAATACGAAGATGAATATAATTTGAGTGACTCAGATTGGCATTAAACAGGTTTTTTTCGACAATTAATTTGTTTGATAAATTGTACAATAAGGTAGAGGCGCTGAATGCTATCGTCGATCATACTGTACATATTTATTTTCAGACTAGTAATTTGCAATTTTCTGTTAATAACTGCTTCAAATCCAGTCTTGTTCTCATAAGCCGTATACGAGCAAGATGTAGATAACGAGTATATTTATCTGCAATTGATGCAATTTATTTTATATATTTCTTTATTTGCTCTATTTGTCTGAGTGTATGCATACTGGCGCCACCACAACCAATATATACAAGATGGACAGTCAAATGGCTCGAACACTTTTATAAAAAAGCAATGCAAAAAACACAAGTCCATTTTTTATCAACACGTTTTTTTTACTGTAAACGCTTCCATTGAAAGTAGATGCGTATTCTGGGTATACATCTCATAAGTCACTCTACATTCCTTCCTCTTCAAATAACACCACGTAATACACGTTCAGTGCAAAAACATTGCAAGTCCGGGACTTACAAAAGGTACAAAAGGACAATCATTTTTTAATGCGTCATTTCTTCTAAGCACTGGTCTATGCTTCATCCACGCATAAAGTTACGAGTATACCGTGAAACTGCCCTTATCTCATTACGTGACCACGATGCCATAGTCCGCTTTTTACACTGTCAATACGAATGAACAACTGAATCAACAGTAGCAGTAGCATGCAGCCTCCTGCGTCCGTTTCTTCAGTCATATTGCAAAACTTTTATTATTTAAAAAAATCGTGAAAAATCTTAATCGCTGTTTGAAGCTTTCAAATCGCCACTTTGGCGAAAAATCACCAAGACTGGCAACCCTGGTACGGCGCAACGAAGCGAGGCGGGCGGATCGTGTCTAAGGGAAACCCCAAGATATATAGCATTTCGTTTATGTTGCATATTCTGGATCATATTACTATTAAACAATATCAATGAAAACGGATGCACTTTGTGCGGGAAAGGAGAT